ACCAATCAGTCTCACTTGGATTTTCAGTAACTTTGAATTTGGGTTTGCTTTTACAGCAACACCAGCAGCATTCACCCAGCTTGCGAACCCAAAGCTGCCACAATACTTAACTATCACCCCTTAGGAGATTCCTTGTCCCCATCCTTTGTGCCATGTACAGAAGACAAGGACCATATTCCCTTACCAGCAATAAAACTTTGTCATAACTCTAGATGAAGTTCTTAAGCCCTTCAGCCAGCATGGATGATAGGCAACCTACCAGAAGCTTTGCTTAAGTAGAAGAGGGGTTTTACACAATTTGGTATGACAGTGAATAATGCCTCCACTCTCCAATCTCTCCACTAGCACCTGCTCTATCCCAAAAGCAAAATAACATTATTCTAGACGACTCACACACTTTCAGCTTTCAATAATACTGTGCCTAATTATACTGCATGGGTTAGCAGCAGTAGAGCTTGGGATAATTGGAGTTTGGGATAATTGGAGTTTGGGGTTTCTGGGAACATGTAGCAGAAGGTTTGCAGTAGAAAGACAACTGCCTGCTGCAAGTACACAGGTGTGTCTACCTGGAGTTTTCTGTAGATGACCAGAAAAGAAATGGCCAGCGATTCAGCTGCCACCCCAAGGTGCATGGGGTAGCTTTTCTCTGTCAGAGCTGTAAGGTCCTCTCAAGGGTACATATGGACAGAGGGGGTGGCTGTGCCTTTTTACATTCACATTCATGTTGTGACATTTTCTCCATTCTTCTCTTTCTCCTGAGAAAGCTTAGAAACTCAGAGCCTGGCCTATAGCGAGAAAAGGAGGCACCAAGCAAAGATTTTATATTATATCTTTTTAAACACAGACCACGTTTTCTTATGTTTGCATGGAAGATAGATGAGGATCACATCATATATGTGATCTATCAGGATAGAATGTCTCAAGACTGGGGTAAATTAATCCTATTCCTAATGCGACAGGTGACTTCTGGGGGGATAACTCACTGCAGGTTGCATTGGTTTAGGTTAGACTCCACAGGAACACATCTCTTACCCTCTTGGGCTTAAGGCCCTGGCTATAACCGTCCTGCTCCTGCACAAGAACCTCTTTTAGTGCTGCTATTCTCCCTTTTCCCATAGATACTCTACTCCTGGCCAAACAGGGCACAGCTCTCCATCTTGTAGCCTCATTCTTGCAAGCTGGAGTCCTCCTCCCAAGGAGGGACTGGCCGCAAGCTCTGTTCTTGCCTGCCTGAGTGCTCTCTCTTCTCACCAGTTGGCCTGGGATGGGCAGCATCCTTTCCTTGCCATGGTTCTGAAAGAAAGCTTGGGCATACCTTGAAAGATCTATGTGGAGTTTTGGCACCTTCTGGCCTCTGTCTGAATCACAGATATTTTTTTACAGGAGGAGGTGCTGAGCTTCTCCAGAGTAGGAGCCTCTGATCTTGTACTGGAACATGTGTTTAAATGCCCAGTAAAGGCTGCAATTCAAAGCAGAGGCACTGATTATATTCTAGGACACCCAAGGCTAGCTATGCCCCTAGGCAGAACAGTGAACCAAAGCATCTGAATACTTGTTAAGCCTTACAGGCCTGTGTTCCTGTGTGGTGACAATTTCAGTGGAATTTGGTTACAGTGCTCTCACTGGGAAGCATCTAATTGGGCTGAATTATTTTGTGGTGTTGGCAGAAAGCAGGACAAACCCAGTTATCCAGGTGCCTAGGATCCTTGCAGTAACAGGAAACTGCCGAGGCAGGATACATCTGGATCATCCCAGCAAAAAAGCCCAATGTTGGGGGGGGGGGGGGGGGGGAGTGTTGCATAGGAGGTAATATAGATGAAAATCAAATTCTCTGACAGTCCCAAATCTGCTAACACAAATCTGAAGTTCACTGGGGATATCAGCACATGGAACAACATATACCAGATAAGCATTTAAAAAAGAAGCACCTTTTTAAGTGGACCCATCTCCTCCTACTTATTTTCTCCAGATCTGACTTTTTAATTATTTACAGCACGTTGTGAACTTGTAACCACCTCTGAGATGATAAAGTATCCCAGCTCTACAGGGCAGGTGAAATTCCATCCTTTTCTTTTAATGCAGATATTTTGAAATGAGAAAGACATTCCTTCTTAGCCTTTTCAAGCAGATCATGAGATGTAATTACAGTAATTTTACTGTACAGCCACAAATACAAGCACATGGGAAGCTTGTATTTGGGCAGACCTGCATGGCTGCTTAGCTAACAAGGGATGGAGGATTTGTAGATCCTCATTTACCAAACCCTGGATCAGTTCCAGCCCTGAATACAGGAACAAAAACTGACAGATATATGGCAAAAAACATAGTAGTCCATAATATTTTTCTCAGAAGATTATCCACTGTTTAATTACAGATGGAGTTAGGAAACTGTGTCCTGTTCTTCATCTGAATCAGCCTGAAACCATCTTTCAGTGACTGAATTTTTTTTTCTTTTGTCGTCAGTAGTACAAGAAATTCACCCTGATTTTAGATTTCTGTATGCGAGTATCTATACTAAGCACTTGAGTCACTCTCAGCTTTTTGTCAGTGAGCTAAATAAGTTGAGCTCCTAATGCTTAAAATTATGACTTGTTTTCTAGTCCCTGGAGATACTTGTGACCCTCTTTTGAACTCTCTCCCCTTCTGTGTTCTGGTTATTTCCCGATTATCTTTTCTCAGGTGTCAACAACAATATACAAATAGCCATAAACAGTCAGACCAAAGATATATGTAGCCTATTGTCCTGCCTTTGGCAGCACTTCCCACAGATGCCACTGGAAGATTAACTACACTGAAAATAAGGTGCTGTTTTCTTCACTGCTACCTGCTCCAGTATCCAAGTGATCTGCAGCTCACTGTGCTATGCATGTAAACTCTTAACCTGAGCTGGGATTACTTCTTCCCATTTTTTGCTTGGCATTCCTGGTTGTATGGATCCAGGGACCACTTTGGCATGTTTCTTGCCATTGCAGGGCCTCAGAAGTTTATGTTGACCCGTGAAGTTTTGTAAATCCTCCATGGAGCTGCAGCTTTCCAAGACAGCTTACTAACTTTAGCAAACAAAACTCTCAGTCTCATGGAGCCAGTACACGATCCTTCAAGCTAACCTCTTGTGCTTGACTCTCAAGTCCTTCTCTGAAAAGCCAGTGTGCTGCCTCCTGCAAAGACGGCATTGAACTAGGATGTGACTTTTTCCAGAAGGAAACTTTCTGCACCCCCACCTTACAAGTTAAAGAATTCAGAAGATGTGTCCTGGGCTCAGCAGTAGCAGTCATGTTTGTTTTTTTTTTCCTTTGTGCTAGCTGGTGCAGTGCTGTGTTTTGACTTCCAGCCTGAGAACAGTGTTGGTGAAGTCAATGTTTTCAGTTGTTGCTAAGTGATGTTTACCCTGACCAAGGACTCTGTGAGGCTCATGCTCTGCCAGGGAGGAGGGGAAGCCGGGAGGAAGCAGAGATGGGGCGCCTGACTCGGGCTAGCCAGGGAGGTATTCCATACCACAGCACGTCATGCCCGGGGTGGGGGGTGACTGGGAGTTACCCGGAAGGACACGGGTCTTCCGGGTGGAACTCGTCTTCTTGGCCGGTGGTATCGTATTCTCTTCCCTTGTTATTTTCCCTTATCATTGTTGTAGTTGATAGTTGCGGTGGTGATTTGTGTACATTGGTTGCTGGACTGTTCTTGTCTCAACCCGTGGGAGTTGCACTCTTTCGATCCTCCTCCCCGTTCCTCCGGGAGTGGGGGAGAACCCCGGTGGGGGGGGGGGACACGGACCTCGATTGTTGTCAGCTCGGCACCACTCACTGGGAGTGAGTGAACAAGTTACCTGACTGGGTTTAAACCACGACAAGATGAAATACTAGCTTTTGACTTCAGACCGCTTCCAGCTCTACCTGGTTTTCATTTCCTATTTGGAGAGTGTTGCCAGCTTTTCAGAGATTGTAGTACAATGGATTCCAGCCTACTGCAACCTGCCTGCAGTAATGTTACCTGAAAGCTTAAATGATCAAGGTGTTCTAGAAGTATGAGAACTACTTAAATTAAATAAAATATATTTAAACATATAGTCATCTCCTGGATTTTTTGAGACTAACTGCAGAGAAGGCTTAAAAAAATACAGCATTGACTGTCTTTCTAAAAGAAAACTGATATTCCCATATAATAGCATAATTACTCCAGGTGTCAGGGCATTAAAAATAGCAGCAACTTTACAGAGAAATGAAGGAGTTGGCAGTACTGCCACTACCTTTATTTCCTACGACTTTCAAATGAATGTGAGAGAAATCTTATCGCATTCACATATCCAGGTCTGCAGGTGTTTCCACACCACCACCCATTTGCTCTGGCATGTGCAACCTCTCCACTCCTGCTCTCCTTCATTCATTCTCACCCCTGAATCCTGTCTCTGCTCCTCACAGGCACAGGCAGACACATTCCAGCTTCTTTTATGTACAACCATTGCTATATACATTGCTATATACAACTGCAAGAACTACCCCCTCATGCACAAGCACATATGCCAAAGTCAGTGCACACACACCAGACCCCACACTTGCATATGGTGACAGTATTTTATCCTGGAGATGGGACAAGACACAGAGGGTCCCTGCTGTCCAGGCAGTTAAGATGCTGAAGTCCTTTTTAGTGGGGAGGTTCAGTAAATGCCTTTTGAAGCTTGCTGGGGTTTAGGAGCTGCCAGCTAGGTGAGTACTGATCTGAGATGCTCTTTCCCAAATCGAGTGGTTGTGATGGATCGTATTTATACCTTCACTCTTCCAGCCTTTGACAAACCATCCCACACATCTCTTATATTTGAAGGCTTCAACCTAATATTTTTTGAGCTGGGCATATGGGACCATGATTGTATCATCTTTATTTACTTTTCTCCATTCACTCTCACTCCTCCATTCTTCTGTCTCCCCACCATTTATCATTTAAGGATCCACTAAAATATTACACAGTGGTTTTTACTCATCACTGTTTTTTAACCCGTTTGTCAACAGATGCTTACCCTAATTCTGAGGTGATCTATGTGTGGACTAATAGCACCACAACATCTGTGGTGGTGGCCGAAGATGGCTCACGACTTAACCAGTACCACCTGATGGGACAAACTGTAGGAACTGAAAACATCAGTACCAGTACAGGTAGGGAGAATACATCCATCCCATGGTTGCTGATAGCTGGAGTGGGAGCGGAGATCACAGGCTCCAGTTATTTTGTAAGGAGACTAGGGAAGCATCTGCATGACATGGGGTGTGCAGGAGATCCTGAGCATGTTCCTGGAGCTGAATGCAGAGAGGGTTGTGTGCTGGCTCTTAGGTACATCACGAAGATGTCACTGAAGATGTATCCAAGGTCCTGCTATTTAACAGACTGCAGAAGCTGCACACAGCTTCTGGTGCCCGCCTTTGCTGAGGCTGCCAGCGCTATTGCTGGCTTATTTCCCTGTGGGAACAACCACCCCAGGAGGCAAACACCACCCACGCATTTGGTCCGTTTCAGTCATCGCTTTAAAATGTTTTGCTTGATGAAACCACATGGGGAGGGAGCAGAAGGTGGCTGGGGGCTGTGGCATGGCTCTGCAGCGTGTCCGGAGGACCACGTGGCTGGTGAGGAGGTGCAAGCCCCGAGGATTCCCATTTCCTCCCAGGCTGCAAGCGGAGGCGCCAGATGTGGCAGCATTAGAGAGGCAAAGAAGATTTAATCCCAGGCCGCGCACCCACGTGAGCCAGCCCCCCTCCCACCCCCCTTCTTAAGGCTCCCACGCAAGGGCAGCCCTGGGCATGCATTGGTGGGGGGACTCCCGGAGGGGTTGAGTCCAGGCCAGGCATCACATGGGCTCAGCAGGACTGGGGCTTAACCAGGTTATACAATGCACTCGTCTGCAGAGCATTAGTGGCCTCCAGCGGGGTGGGGAACAAAATAGCCTGCCATCAAGGGAAGGGGGCTTTCCACCACTGCTGGTTGTGTGGGGTTTGGGGTGGGTAAAGGGGGCAGACTGCAGCCACATGACTGGGAGCAATTCCTGCTGGCAAAGCATGATGGAGTCTTTCGGTGATATACTGTGTCCCTGGTGAAAAATGACAGGCTCTGAGCCAAATGCAAGATTGTAAAGGACAAGGTATAGCTTGAGTTAGGAACCTACTGCTATCCGCAGGAAACTCAGGAGATGTGGAAACAGGTACACATACACTTCCACACAAAATTAGCTGGACCTAAACATGAAGCTTCCTGCTCAAACTATCCAAACACAGCAAATAAAGAGGGTGCAGCTGAGCTTGCCACTTGGTCTCCAAACAGGACACAAAGTGAGGGAAGGCTTGCCTCAGGCAACACAGGGGAGCCACTGAACACAACCACTATCCCCATCCTATAGAGCTTCACCCTCTCCCTTGCCCATTTCAGGAGACACAGAGCTGTTGCCAAAGCAGATAGATACCTAAAATCAAGAGAAACATATAGACAGGCACTGCTGCAGGAAAAGCATGAGTATGCGATCTCCCATTAAAAAGCAAAGACGCTTTTTTCCTTACCAGTTTACCATCATAGCCGCGTTGTTTTCTGCAATGAATGGTAGCTCCCCTCTTGCCTTCATTGTTGCCAAGAAAAAGATCCAGAGGATGTACTGGGACATCTCCTACAAGCTTGCTCTACTCCTCAGAGCAAGAAAACCGTCCAGCCCAGGCAGTGAGTGCTCCAGTGTGCCAGCTCCAGGCCACCTCCAGTTTGCAGCTCTGTCTGTGAAAGATCCTTGTACTCCTAAACCCAAGGAAAGAGGGTAGTCTTCAGACAAATCCCAAAGTTTCTGCCCTGTACTGACCTCCCTGCTATATATTAAGATTTAGGCTAATAAATGCTTGGTTTCTAACATCAAGGTTTTATATTAATGTCCCAGGTTACATCTGGGCTGGCTGGATTCTGATTGCAGGGTGGATCACAAAGAGCAGGACACAGATTGTAACCAGGGATTAGCAAAATACAAAAATCCGATTTTGCACAGGGAAAGCATCAGTCAGCCATGGATTTTCTGGACTTCATCAGGCTTGTAGGAGGCCAGTAATCAGGGTTACTTATGAAGGCATTTCTTCCTTCTATTGAATTGTTGAATGTGAAAAAGGAAAAAAAAAAAAAAGCTATTGCACAATCCAAGTGCTTGGATCTTTTGTGGAGTTTTGGCGCACAAGTCAAACTGCGCAGACTGTGCAGTTGCATAGGCAAAATGTTCATGTATATCATAGGACATTTATGCTCACCTTTGTAGCAGACTTTTTTTTTAATGGAAATGCTGGACCTGCCTCAAACCCTTGAGATTCTGCTGGGTTTGTAGGCGAGCTGCTAAGTTTGGCTGTCTTCTCAGAAAAAAATACTCTGGCACTCCCAATTCATCAGCCAGTCTTGAAATGAGAATATTTTAACCATGCCACAGAAAATAGCTCTGACATGTGCCACTTCATTGGGATTGTGGTGTTTTTGGTGCTAACATACCCAAATGTCATTCCCCCAAAAGAGAAGATGTTTGACTACTTGCACTGCTTCCAACATCTGTTATGTCCCGGTGGTACAAGTGCTTAAAAGAGTCAGGTACGGGATTTGGGTCCAAGTGGATCTTGCTGCTTTCTGCAAATGGTTGCCCAGTTCTGTTCCCAACATCCAGAATCTCTCATTGCTAACTTAGGATCTGCAGTGCCACAAAACAAAACAAAAACCCACTCTTTTATCTTCTGCCAGCTGGAGCCTGAGCTCTAAAATATCCAAAGCCTAAATAATAAAAGAAACATTCAACCCTTCATTTTGCACCAAATCATTCTGAATTCTCCTTGAGATTAATCTTTTCCTGCATCACTCTATAAAGGACACAGGCATTTTTCATGGGCCAAAATATTCTGGATTCCAACGTGATCAGGGATACAGTGTCACAGACCTAATGTCAGGTTCCCACAGACCTAATGTCAGGTTCCCACCAGAATAGCTTTTGATACACCTGAGTCCAGGTATATCCAGTAAATAAACAAGCCTGGGGGCTGGTCCAGCCCTATTAAAATACTCTATTGAATCCCAGTGTAATGGTGATAGAAGAATGCATGTAAGATCCTGGAGAATTTGATGGAAAACCCAGAACTCCATCATCTAGATACCGAAAAAAAACAAAAACTGTAGCAGCTATTAAAGCATAAAACCCACCTTAAGACCAGCAGCAGCACAGTAGCATAGCTCTGTGAAGAAATGCAGCTCTTTCAGATTTAGGGCTTTTCATCAGTGCTAAATTCGTTATTAAAATTGTTTTCGTGCAGTGATGAGTGGAACCCATTAGGAACAGGATTCTCTTTTAAGTGCTGCATCAACCTATAACAAAAATTAGCTCTTGCTCAAGAAAGTGTATGGTCTAAGAATAAGCAGTGGCCTTGCAGAAGTAAAAGGGAGCTTTGCCACTCCAGCAGAGCCACTGTCTTGTTCTGTATAAACAAAAGGCCAAGTCAGGTAGCTTTTAGCTTTACTTTAAGTAGTCCAGGGCATTAAAAACCAAGCTGTGGGGTTTTCTTAAGCTGTAAGTCTGCTGGAGGAAGTATTCCTGGTGTAGGCATTTTTGAAAGGGACAGCATGGGAAGCTGGAGAAGATTTAGGTTGGAAGAAGAGCAAAATCAAGATGATAGCATCATTCCAGTGGTGTCAAGAGGTTCGATAGGTTAAAATGGTAAGTTAAGAATCATCTGTGGAGTGCCATCAAAATGCAGGCATTCATTTTGTGCATTTTAAAAAGAAAAAAAAAAGTTTATGTTGCTCTGCTGAAGCTGTGTAGATTTGTTTTAATTCCATCTCCAAAAGCATAGTGTCAAAATCAGTAATGCACATTGTCACTCCTTAGTGAGCAAGCAAACTGTGACTCAAACATATCCCAATGCAGCAGCAACTCAGAAACAGATTACAGGCACAAAGACCCTGCTGCTGGTGACATATTTTATGGGTAATCCACAAAATAAATGCTTCTAAAGAGCAAGCGGGTTTCCTCCTGAGACTATAATGTGTTCAGCATCCCTGGTTCAATATTACACTAAATGGAAGGGAATTAGATGTCACTTCACAGGGATTTTCTCCCCAGTTTTCACAGCATTCTCTGTCCATCTATCTCCACATCCCTCTTCAGGGAACCATTTCATGAGAAAATCAGACTCCAGAAGACAGTTACAGAGATTGAGGCAGACTCTTGGGTAAGACATTTCTGTCATATTCCAGTCTTTCTGTCTAAAATCCTGAGCGTGAATGTCTGTAAACTTCATCCAGAATAACAGAGCTCCCCTAGCATAACGTATCAGTGCAGCTATACCTGCAAAAGTCCTTTCACTGTAGACCTGTTCTCTGCTAATTAGCCATATTGTCACTTAGAAATAATCTGCCAAATGTAACTGCTTAGCAAAGCTGGCTGCAGCTCAACTCAGGCTATTCACTCAAGGCAGAATCAGTCTGTTATATATTTTCCTTTTGTGGCCAGTCTATAGAGACTAACAGTCAAGTCTTGCAACAGAGATTGTAGCTATATTTGTTTTGTTCTTGGAGAACGATACATATTTCAGAACAGGAATTACTCTGATTCATCAGTACCCAGATGCATGATGCATGCTTTTACATTATTTTGATCTGGAGATCTGCTAGGGCTTGAAGGGGCTGGTTGTTTTTTTCCTCTTACTTTTTGGTTTAATTTTTCCTGTATTGTAGCCTGGTTTTAGCTGGCAAGATTTTGGCTTTGGGGAGCAGTTACCATCAATGAATAGCCTTCAGTAACAACTATGTTTTTCCAGGAACAGTCCGAAAGAACCAGTTAAGTTTTGATTTTTTCTGAAACATTAGGGAAGGTGACAGCTGGTCTGTCGATTTTGGAGTGCATGTTTTTAGGCTTTCATTGAGATTCAGAGGACCTGACAAAAGACAGATAAAGGCAGTGCTGTGAATTTGGCATATAAAAAAGCCATGCACTTCTGTGGCAGCTTTCAGTGAATTCTCTATGCAGGCAGTACAATATTCATTGCACAAGTGAACAAGACATGCCACAATGGCTATCCAGAAACAGATGTATCTTTCCAAGGGTTAAGGTGTACCAAATTCTAGGAAAACTGCATACACTAGAGGAGTATTCTTGCAATCTGATGGGTTTGGGTACTCAGATCAGAAAGACAGGCCAGGATCCACGTGCAAAGCTGCAGTTTTCTTAGCACTGACACAGGGACAGACAGGTGGTCCCTGAAGTGCAGTGCAGAAGGAGTGTCTGGGCCCATTCTCATTTTTGAAAACTGATGGCTGGCAGTAACAGTTGCCCTAATGAGGTTAAGTCATGCTGCTAAATTAGGTATCTGAGAGTAGATGGCTTTAATCATTACTCTGCTAAGACTGTTTGTAGGATTGAGTCAAAACCAGGCAGGACTGACGGAGTGCCAGCACCCAGATTTTTTAAGCCTGGGAACATCAAGACATCCCAGGTATATAAAAGAACTTCAGATTTTCAGTGCGGTAGGAGTAGTCAGTCATTGTCTTCTGCTTTTAGGGACTGTATATGAAGACCATCAGGATCTAGCAGCATTTCTGTCTCAAGTCCTGGTTTTCCACAGCACAGAAACCAAAACATTTGTCATGCAATTAAGAATGGCTGGATGGCATCCTCAAATGGGGTGGGATGGGGCTGGCCTGCTGAAATCCCTAAATTGATAATCCATTATTTTACCCACATGAATGTTTTTCTCCTTCTAGGCGAATATACTATTATGACAGCCCATTTTCATCTGAAAAGAAAGATTGGTTATTTTGTTATCCAGACGTACCTTCCTTGCATTATGACTGTGATCTTATCACAAGTATCATTTTGGTTAAACAGAGAATCTGTCCCTGCTAGGACTGTCTTTGGTGAGTATCCCACTTTCTCCCAGCACAGGGGAAGTATTGGTCTGGCTTGTGGAAGTAACTTGATGTAATAAAACCACAGTGCATTAATGCTTATTTCTGCTTGAAGTGTTCCCTTCTTCTCTTCCAATTTAAACTCGAAATACATTTAAAAACACTGTCTTTGGTTTTTTTGTAAAGTTATGACAGATACTCTTCAAGAATCAATATATGAAGGTTAAGGACAGAAGGCAGAAGAATGAGATTGGTGTGATTTGGGGGCAGGGAAAGGGGGTTCCACTTGCGGAAAACACAGGATGCTTTAGAACAAAAGAAGTACATATTATCATATTTAGTGTGTACTCTAGCTAAGCATTTGAGACAGATTTCACTTCAAGACATTTTGTTTATCTCTGTTTTAAGATGTTTATCTGTGAAAACCATGTAGAGGTTAATTAGTGATAATTATCTCTATTACCATCAAACAAATTAATATGATTTTGCATTTCCAAACGTATATTTACTACAGAAGTTGTCATGAAAGAAATCCTTCAGGCTCTCTTAAATTACTTGATTTATCACTAAAAGATTGCAGAAAATAAACAGTCTTCAGTGAAGGCTGATGAAATACAAAATTTTCACTAGATGGAAAATGAGGGAAGTGGGAACAGTTTATTATGTAAAACTTCAATCAGCTGTTCTTAAGCAATTCTTCTGTGCAAAACTACTGAAATCAATTGGCAGCTTTGATCAAAAAATCAATTCAGCAAGCTGTATGGGGAGAATACAGGTACCAGCATCTCTTTACTGACCGGTGGTATCCATTCCAGGTTCACAAAGATGTAACTTCAGAGTTTAATTTTGTCATATTGGGGGAATCCTTCCACAGACTAAAATAGTGGCAGCTCTGTCATTTACTGGCCTGTGGGAAAGGAGATACAGACAAGGAAATCAGTAACAGCCAACAATTTCATACATACAATCTCCATGTAAGAAAATAGAATCTGTAATCCCACTTTGTTCTGACACTTACTGCTAAGTGGGTTACTCACTGATTTTATAATGTACCACTGATTGAGGGACACGCTATACATACCATGCATCAGTGCACAGGGATAGAAGACCAGTAAGGTTTTCTGTTGTGTAACAGCTGGGTTTATCTTAAGCTACAAATGCTTATTTAAATACACTGCAACTAGAGATAACCAGAATACCACAGAAGTAAGCACCTGAGGGTGGAGGCTTTCACATTTTCTTGGAGAGCAAGTAGCTGGCTCTTTTGGACCATAATATGCAAACACTGACTTCATAGGCTTTCTTAGGTATCCTGCTGAACTGGGGCCTGCTTGTAGCTCAGTAGGGATCTCGTAAAGGCTACCAAACTGATATCTTTCTTTTTTCTTTTATTCTTTACAGGAGTAACAACAGTCCTCACCATGACCACCTTAAGTATCAGTGCCCGTAACTCATTGCCAAAAGTGGCCTACGCTACTGCAATGGACTGGTTTATAGCTGTCTGCTATGCCTTTGTATTTTCTGCATTGATTGAATTTGCAACAGTCAACTATTTCACCAAGAGGAGTTGGGCATGGGATGGCAAAAAAGCCCTGGAAGCTGCTAAAATCAAGGTGCTTACCTTACATTTTTCAAATACCCAGAATAAAAAGCAGGTATTCAGCATAGTTCAAATAATTGATCATTTTCAGCTTCTTTATATAAAAAGTATTTAATTACCCTTCCAACCTGATCCATTCTATGATTCTATCAAACATATCTCTGCAGAGCACTCTCTGTGCACTCTCCCAAATAAATGACAAAGCTCACATTGAGCTCCATGAGTCAGGGTCCCACCACAGAATCCCCAGTGGAAAAGACAAAAGAGCAGTTCTGTGAAAATACAAACTTTCGAGTTCCACACTGAAATTAAAATTTTGGAATAGGACTGGCTCTTATCAAATGATCTAGAGAGAGCGAGTACCTGCAGGCATCCCAGAAGAACAATACGAAGAGGGCAAGCTGGCAGTGGCACTGAGCCCTCCACCACACTCCTTGCTGCAGCCAGGAAGGTGAGGTTCACATCTTGGCAGCTGCCTGTGGGACAGCTACCTCTGCAGGTGCAGGACCACATCACCCTGACAAAAGAAGCTGCTGGTGCACATACCAGGTGGCATCTGGATCTGGACAGTCACCGTCAGCTTTCTGTGGCGTCAGGGAAAGTTTAACCTGAGTAAGGCTATAAAATCAAGGCAGAAACAGCTGTTCAGTAGTCGGAGTAGCCAAGAGATCTGTTAGCATGATTGATTATGGTACTTAGATTTTTGGGTTAGTAACTTGAGAGTGTTTCCACTTTTTGTTCCTGTGGTCTAACATTTTGTTCTTTACACTGCAGAAAAGGTTGGGAAGTAAATCAACCAATACTTACACCACTGGGAAGCTGACCCCTGCACCAAACATGCCAAAGGACTCAGCCCCATCTGTCATCTCAAACACTGTATCTGCTTCAGTGAAGTCCTCAGAAGAAAAACCTGCTGAAAGCAAAAAGACTTACAACAGCATCAGTAAGATTGACAAAATGTCACGGATAATTTTTCCAGTGCTGTTTGGAACTTTTAACTTGGTTTACTGGGCCACATATTTGAATAGGGAGCCTGTTATTAAAGGTGCCAATTCTCCAAAATAAACTGAAGGACTCTAAAGCCACATGTGAGCCATACTTACAAAGCAGATGCTACCAAGGAAAATTTGAGATCCAGACAACTTTCTACATTTGGGCAATATACTTCAGGAAGTTTTTTGCATGTTTAATAATATGTACAAATAATATTGCCTTGATTGTTTCTACATGTAACCTCAGATGTTTCGGAGATGGTTATATTACTTACAGCAACAGATCTTTATAAAAGATCAGAAGACATTGAACATGGCTTCTTTGCTGCTGAGTATCTTGCATTGATAGTTTACAAATAAATAAGTTATATTTTTTAACTGTTCAAGTGTACTACATATCGTGGTTTTTATACTTCAGATGTACAGTCATACAAATATAGGCTTAACCTATATTTTACAGAAGAGCTCCACTATTGTCATCTGATAAGTTACTGAGTAACGCCAGTTGTAAATGTGTCAAATTATTAAATGTAGGGCTATGTCTGAGCACCTTTACTGGTGATAGGTAGTGCATTACTCCACAGATAAAACTGCTCAGCCCAATTTTCATTGGAAGTTAACACACTGCAGTAAATCCTGATGGGGCTATGCTGATTTTCACTGCTTGATCCTCCAGCTTGCAGTGAAGTAACATGGGGAGCAGGATGCTACTTGTGTAAATAAAGGTGGTGGAATCTTGCCTTTAAAAGAAAATATGAGGTTTGTTTGGATTTTGCATTCCAAGGAATTTTCTTGGATGATTCTCGGTATTTATTCCAATTAGAGATATATTGCATGAAATTAACATAGATTAGGAACTTACTTGTGCAAATAAAACTTTTAACAAAAGCAGTAGACATTTTTATTAGAGTGAAGTAAATGATCTTTGGACATTTTCCCAAGAAGAAGATTGCGTTATATTAGCAGAGATAAACAGTAAAGAATTACAGTAATTCTACAATAATTATTACTTGTTTCCCACAGTGAAAACCAATCAGCCAACACTAAGAAGTGTGATCAAAAAGATGTGCTTCATGACAGCAAGGTGTTTCAGTGACAATATTGACAGAAAGGTCTTTGTACTGTCCATCTGAAACTTTTCTATAAAATGCCTTGCTGCTGCCAATGTGTTTTGCTTTCACAATGAATGAGAACATGCAATCTGAGTTTTCAGCTCTTTCCTCCTTGGCATCCATTCCTTGTTCCAGAAGCTTTTGTAATTTAATCTTAATGTTTAAATAAAAAATGCATTCAATATTTGATTGCAAAATGTCTTTTTTATACTGGTTATCTTTTTACAGAGACCAAAAAATTATGACAAGATTAAGGGTATTAATTTGAAAGCACACATGCACACACCCAGTCACATTGGTGAGAATGATGTGTCCTCAGTGTTGCCCAGAAAGGTATATACCGAGTGATGACACTGAGTTGAGATGTTTCAGAATTAAGTGCTATCTAGCTTTGGCGCATCAGCCCCGTGTTCTGTCTGGGGTGGAGATGAGAGTTCATGCTTCACTTTGAGGTGAGAATATGGTCTAAGACTGGGGAGCTGTCTGGGCTTCTTGTGTGTCTTCTCTTCCACCTCCTTCATTCTTAAACACTGCCAAGAAAAAAGTCTCACACATCCACTCCTTTTTCTGCTTTTTGTTTGATCCTTTGGGATTACAAATTTGCAAGCAGGGAATGAGCAAACAGCTGCATGGTTCTGAGTTACCGTCTGGGCTTAAACCACAACGGTTCTTTGTGGCACCCAACTTGGCGCCAATCAGAAGGCAAACACCATAGGCTGAGATAAGGATAATTTAATAATTGTTTTTCTGTTCTTTGCTTAATTTGTTTACGCCCAAGTCTGACTCTTACCCTGAATGGCTCAGCATCATTTTCTGGTTTTCATTGCAGCACTCAGTGCTAGGACCTCTAAATCTGACCTATTTTATGCAAGTGGAAAGTCTCCTTGTCATCACTGAATATGGAACTACCTGCAAATAGTAGAGTTGCATAGTCACAGGATCAAGCCCTTTGCTTTATCTTAGCAAACAATTTATCAATTTACCTGGTGTGTAGAGCACCTGATAATTACCTGCCTAAGACACTGGCACCACAGACATTCTATGCATAGATCACTTCCAGTTGCATTGGCTGTCCCTTTCTCTGTTAGAAGGTAAAGACAGAAAATAATGATTAGAGTTCATTCTGTTATCACAGATTTGCTAAATCAGGATGAAGTTTCCTGCAGAAATGTTTCTCAGAGAAAGCCACACACTCCTAATCCTCGCTGAGAACTGAAATGATAGAAGAAACCACCTCACACGGTGTGCTTCTGCCTGAACCACAGGTGCTGTCCCATAGTTTGAGAGATGCTTCAATAAGCCGACTGATTCCTGGCTGAAGTACTTAAATGATGCTGCCTCGCACTATGCAACACCTAACAGTTTAAATCTCTTTTCAGTCAGTGGAATTGTGTGTGGGAGACCATTACTCACTGATGGCATCTGAACTGTGGGAGATGGGAGCATTTTCCAGATCCTGGCTCAAAGTAAACACCTTTGCCTTCTCCTGCTCCATGTGGGGGCAGTATCTGGATGTGCATTAGCCTTCTCTGCTTTTCCTTGGAAGGAACTTGGGCCTTCAGGAGTGGTGTGAGCTGTGTCACTGTTCCCAGTATGGGTGAGCTGGGATGCTGTGGAGCACCTTGGGCCTTCAGGAGTAGTGTGAGCTGTGTCACTGCCCCCAGTACGGTGAGCTGGGACCCTGTGGAGCGCATCTACTTCACAGCTTAGTGATGGCCAAAGAAAATAACAAATAGGAATTGCCTGTCACTGTTTTTTCCTCCAAACTTTCATGAAAAAAAAAAAGTTGAAAAGTGGATTACAACGATTAAGCACTGGAGAGTAAGCGTGTGCAGTTCTACTGCCAAATTTCCTCACTTGCACCCATTAAGAATGAAAGAACAAGTCAAATACAATGGAAAAGGGGTTTTATTTCTGGTATTTGAGTGGTCCCAGCTTACTCCAAGGATGAATTTAGGCAACAACGTATTTTTTAAAGCTCACCCTTCTTTTGTTATCTGTGTTCTGCTTTTTCCTAAATGGAATATACCCTCTGTGGAATAACTAAACATATTTGTACAAAACTGAGAAGAAATGGTTTTATGAAATAATGTCATATCTCAAAAATTCTTGCTCAACATCTAAGTTAAACTTTCAAGAAAACTGAATGAAGCTGCCTTGCTACTCAGTTTATGCAGACAAGATGAATGTAGCAGTTGCACAGATATTTGTTTTTTAAATGTGGAAATAATGTTATTTGTAATAAGGATATATTTCCCCTGACACCCTTGCTCCTCAGTTTGGAGTTGGCACTGAAATGTTCAGAGGAACCTAAACTATTCTAAAGGAGTATTTGATCAAATTGCTTGAAATCTTTCTGACTTTTAACTTGGTTTTATATCACTACAAACAAATATGGCCATCACACAGTGACAGTCTCAAATGACATCCTCACCTTACCAATTTTCCATCTTCTGTTTTGTTAAGGACATTTGTTCAACTTTGAGAAAGAAAGAATGGAAGCTATATTTTATGAAGCCCAAAGGAGTTCTGAAGGATCTTTCTAGGTTTACCACTACTATAGATTCTGTACTGCATTATTTGCCTTCTCATTGCTATCCTCAAAAGCAATTATCACTTCTCGCAGTCATGTCTTAGAAGTTGCTGCTTAAATTCATCCTGGCTATAAAAAAAAACATAAGTGAAAAGGAAGTTAAGAATGTTGGTTGAAGGTACGAACTCATTTCAGTTAGGTGAATTTGGAGAGGTTTTAAGAAATACTGATACATTGCAATGCACTGGACTGACAACAATAGGTTGCATTTGTAGGTGGGAATATTTTATGTACTACACATAGGACAAAAACAACTGCATAATTTGTCACATGTACAGCAAATGCTGAAACTGGCCACCCACAGCAGTCTTGCCCTCAGTGGATTCTTTTGGTGCAGGCTGGTGTTACTGACATCCTCAGAAGAATTCCTCAGTGGATATCCATTCCCAGAGGTCCATGCCTGCCTGCCCTTAATGCCAGCAAGTGTATGGGAATCTGTTGAAGAGCTGCGGCACAGTAGCATCAGGAAGGGGTTCTCCATATCCTGCCTGTGGGCCAAAGACAGCAGCCAGCCCGGTGCTGAAGGACAGAGCTGAGGGCATACAGAAAAGTGTCTGGACCTCTGAGCTTCCACTTCCCACCTCAAGGCAGGTTTAATTATTTGTACAAAGCACAATGCCTCCAGCACAAGCAACAGAGACCTTCAGCCAGAGTGAACTGGCTCTCGTCTCTAATAAATCACTAATAAGCCTCCAGCTGGAGGAATCCAGTAGCTGCAGGAGACAGGTTTCGGCCCCCTCCCTGTTTGTCTCAGAGCAGCCCCAGTTCCCTCATGTCTTGCTTGTGGTGTAGCTGGAAGCCTCAGTCACTGGGATGCCAGGAAAGCCAGCAGTGGGGGCTCTCCTTCTACATTTAATTGCAGAAAAGTTTAGGTGCCCAATTTCTGGAACCCATTCAGTGCTAGAAAGGAGGCATCCAGTTCTAGGAAGCGAGACACTTGATCTATGAGCCCCCTTCCCTCCTTCTGCATTTCCCCCCTTATTTATGCTAACTAGCTTTCTGCACAGCTGCTTCGAGAGGTTCATTCTTCCCCCCCTGCATAAGAAAGACCTCAGAAGTATCCTTTTGCTATCTCTCTGGTTGAAAAGATATTTGCCCTCTCTAAAAATGCCATGAAAGGTCAGTTAAAATGTGGCTTTGTTTTTATTATGTAGATAATATAAATACTTTACTATCATTAGAGAGTATTATAAAATGTTCTTTCATGAAAATGGGCGCTGGATAATCGTAGCATAGAAACACAGAAGGGTTTGGGTTGGAAGGGACCTTAAAAATCATCTAGCTTCAATCCCCCTGCCATGGGCAGGGGCACCTTCCACTAGACCAGGTTGCTCAAAGCCCTGTCCAACCTGGCCCTGAACACTGCCAGGGATGGGGCAGCCAAAGCTTCTCTGGGCAACCTGCTCAGTGCCTCACCACCCTCATAATGAAAATATTTTTTTTCCTGATATCTAATCATGATCCCTACTTGAATACACAATTTGAAAATGCTTAGCAAAGGCAGAGCATCTTGAAAGTAACAGAAAAGCATGTGATAATGAAAAGTAGAAATGACCAAGGGAAGAGCTATAATAAAAAGTGGTGATGAAGTAGTCCTACAAATAACCCACGCAAGACAACAAAGAAAATATTAAACCTCACTTATTCTTTTTCCTTACAGCCCATGGAGAGGGAGGCAACAATTAATGAACCATAAAGCTCAACTCGAGCCTTGGGGCTTGCTGTCAGCCTGCAAGAAAAGAGTAGAGCTGTCAATGTAACACCGTGAGGGTTTTCCAGGGTGGGTGGCTTGATGACCACGTACAGCACTGGTAACTGCACACGGACTCCTAACAGGGGTGTCACTGAGGGCTCTGCGGCTGCTTGCACGCAGCCCGCGGGGCAACCCACGTCCGTTTCGCCGCTCCGCGCTTCCCGAAGCTGCCGCCAGAGGATCCCGCCGCCGTGCCCGGAGATGGCGGAGGCTGGTGGGATTGGCGGGCGCAGAAGGGGCGGGGCGGCGCCGCCGCCGCTGCGGGGAAGCCGCTGTCGGCCCGGAGGGAGGGGAGCGGAGGTCCTCAAACGTTTGCGGAGGGCTGGCGAAGGTGGGGCTCCACGGCCAGAGGGGTGGCGCTGGACTAGGCTCGCCGTCCTCCGTTTGCAAACAGCCGCCGGTTTGTCTTTTCTCCAGGGAATTCTGCCCTATTTACACCGACCGCCCGGGTAGTGGCAGAGGGGAAGCGGCCTCGACCCCCCAACCCCTCCCCGAGCCGCTCTTGGCAGAGCACCCCTGGCCCGCGCCGCCCGCTGCCGCTGCAGCATTTCCCCGGAAGTTGGCTCTGCTGGGCTCGGCTTTTATTTATTTAAACCGGAGTGTGTGCGAATACACACCTTTTTCCGTACGTGGCCAGCGCGGGGGTAGTCGGCGATGGCAAAGAGTCTCTACCTGCGTAGACCGCTTCCCGTCCTTGCTTTATAAACGGTCAAGCACTGCGAGCCGGGACGTGGATAGGGCCACCCCGGAGCCTTGAGTGGTGTTTCCATAACCACCAGACTTCAGGAAACCTTCGGGTACCTGAAAACGCTCCTGGCCGCAGGGAGCAGCGAGCTCGGTGCCGCCGGGACCCACCAGTCCGGACCCTGGCCCTAGCCGGAGCTTCTCCCGTAGCTGCGGGGAGGCTGCTCCTCCGCTCGCCCCGTCCAGCCTCCCGCTCGCCCCAGCAGCGCCGGTGTTTCTGCAAAGTTCGCATCAGCGGTTCGCGGTGCTGCTTAGCCGGCCGCGCCTGAGTAAAGGCGCGCTTCCATATAGCTATTTCTGGTGAAATCCAGGCAACCTCCGAGTTCCTGCAGTCCCCTCGCTTCACCTTTCCTTCTCCTTTCCCTTCCCTTCTTCCTCCCTTTTTTACTTTCCCTTCCTTTCCTTATTTTCTCAAGGCAGCAGGCGTTCTGGAGTCACCTGCACTGTTCTGGCGCTGGAAAAGAGCCAAAGTCTTGTAACAAGTGATTATTAGCAATTCACAGTAACTGCAGTTAGCCAAAGCCAACACGAGAGAACTGCTGTATAATCTAGTGCAGAGACGTTTACGTTGAAAACTAAAAATCCTGAAGTGCATGACTGGGAATTAACTGCCTTACTCAGAACGGATTTTCCCTAAGGTGTCTCATTCCTTCAATAAATAACTTCAGGAACAGAACTCTCTCCAACCAGCTCTTCTAGGCATCATGTAGGAGTTATGCTAAAAGCAAAATTGCATCTTCCAGCAGAACTTTTTTTTTTTTCTCTTAATGCAATATCATAACTAAAACCGACTCCCCCAAAAGCTGGAAATTATGTCTAAGGGAGGAGGAAGCAAAGGTTTACGCTTCCGAGACTCCTGATGACACTAAAACGATCACTCGTTGTACCTCTAGCAGAGCTTTTAATTTCCAGATTACCGTCATGTAACTGAGATTCTGTCATTTCCCATTCTGAAAGCAAAGGGGAATATTCATATCACCCCGATGCCTGGTGCAAAGCTCCACACACCTGGGGAGAACTGAAGTCACTAAAAATCACATCTGTAGTGTTCTTAGTGAAGTAGAAAAACACACGGTGTCCAGACCCAAACTACTCTAGCCCTGAATACACTTGGCTGCTGTCACATTTCCGAATTCCCACAGCAGAAAATCCTCATTTATTCTGAAGTTCCAAATATACACATAAATCCAGGTAGCTCGGTCCACCGCATCTCTCTCTCTTGCATATACATGTTGCAGGCATGCTGTATGCTTATCTATGTGTGTCCATGCATTTGTATAGTGCATGCAGACTTCTACATACATACATACATACAGGTAGATACAGAGGCATGGTACAAAGGCTCTGAGTTGTGTATGTCTGTCTTGTCTGTAGAAGATTGTGCTGTAGGTCCCCCTCTGTAGCTGCCCCGATTACATGGATCTACACCTATATGTACATCGGGATGCCGGTGGTTCCGACCACCCCGAGACCAGAAACAACGCCGACCCTTCTCCCTCCGTCTGAGGAGAGGCCCTCCAGTGCCCGGGGTGGGGGGGCATTCTGCAAGTGAGTACGGGGATTGGGGGTGGGGGAACCCCTCCGAAACAGTGGGGGGATGCTGCCGCCAGGCGCCGAAGCCCCCTCAGAGTCGCCCCCTCAGGGGGCATCGGGCTGGGCTGATGTCCGGGCTGGCTGCGGCTGGCGAGTTCGCTGCTTCCCCTCTCCCGATTGCGTGTGTGCGCCGGCGGGGCGGGGGCAGGGTTCACTTCCCGGCTCCCCCCCATCCCTTGCCTGCGAGGAGGGTACCTGTTGGGCAGGGAGCGGGGGACGCGGTGCTCCCCGATGCGGAGCGGCCCCCGGCAGCACTCCGGTGCCGCGCTGCGGGGCTGGCGCTCCGCGGGGGGGGGCGAGCTGCCCCCCTTTCCCACGCCCCAGCCCGCCCTCCTCCCGGCCGGGCCCGGCGGGGCCCGGGCTCTGCCGCGCTGTGCAGAGCCCGGGGGGGGGCACGGCCAGCTCCAACCGAGGGGCGGGAGAGGCCGCGCGGCTGCTCTCGGCAACCGGCCGCCGGGAAGGAAGCGGGAAGCTCTTAGCTCGGTATCCGCTGAGCACCTGTCAGCGCGTGGAGCCTGATTTACACCCTGGTTTAAACCCTGGCAGCCGCCCCGCTGGGGATCTCCCCCTCGGAACACTTCTTTTTGTGTTGGTTTTTCTTTTTTTTTTTTTTTTTCCTTCCCTTTTCTCCTCCCCCCTCCCTTCCTGGAGCGGTGTGAAAGGGGGTATTTTCTTCAGGGTATAAAACTGAGAATACCGAGGAAGAGAGGCTAAGAGCTTCACCTCATTGCCTCATTCTGTCTTTCACATGAACATTCTCTACAACGTTTCCTTCGTCCTGCCGTACCTCTCACCTGGCCAGCGTTGCCCGGATCATGTCCGCTAAACCCGCTAAGCTCCTGCCGGTTTTCTTCCTCCTCTCAGTGTTTCACGCCTGGTAAGTCTGCAGCCCCTCGCCTCCTCCACCCTCGCTTCTAGCTCCGGGGCTTGCGGGATGGAATCCCGCTCGCCGGAGTTTGCCAAATACTCGGTGCCCGAGAAGGATCGCAGGCTCTTCCTTTCCCCCCACGCCGTGACAGGGCTTCATTCCTCTGCTCCCTCCCCGGACCCGCCTGGCTCCCTTGACAGCCGCAGCCCGCCTACCTGCACGGTGGCCCCGCCGCTGCCCCTCCCGGCCTGGCGTGAAGCCGGAGGTCGCCCAGGAGCCCTGTGTCCCCAGCCAGACCGGCAAAAAGTTTTCCGCGCTCCGGCGGCTGCCAGGGTCTGCAGACGGCGGGACGGCGGCCGCCGCTGCCCGGGCTGCCCTCGGCGCCGAGCAGCCGGCAGCCCCGGCTTCCCTCTGTGCCCCAGCCGCGGGGGCTCCGTTGACGGGGCCATCGTGAGGACGGAAAGGGCAGCCGCGGGGAGCATGAGTCCCTGGGGGTGCCCTGTTTCTGGGGGGCGGGCGGTGTTAACTGCCGAGAAAAGGGACCGGGAGAAGCGTATGTGACGTGCCGGGCCAGGGAATCCCTGGCCCTTGTCTCAGGAGAGGAAAGGGTTCCTTCGGCGGAGCTCCGGCAGCGGCGGGCGGTGAGGGGCCGGGCCGGGACAGCCGGCGGCGGCGGCCGTGATCTTTGGGTTTAGGCTAGCATTCGGTCTCCGTGGTTGTCCAGGATACTAGGAAGGGCCCCTGCCTCACGACCCATGCGAATAGGTCACCTTAGTTCCCCCCCGTAGGATCTGCCAACAGACTTGCAAGCGTTCTCAGTGGCCCTTCTCTTCTTTTCCCTTCTCTGTTTATTCATTCATCATGATCTCAGCAGCCTGCCCCACACTGGAGTAGCAGCTCTTCTCCAGATCCTCAAAGGAACTAGAGGCTGCTTTATGCCAACCCCCAGAGCAGGTCCGAGACACACATGTTGCGGGAAATAAACCCTTTCCCCATAGCCTCTCAGGGTTTTCCAGTCTTTCTCCTTTTTCACTGTCTCCTCAGAGGACCAAAAGTAGTGGCCTCTGAGGAGTTTGGGGAAGGTACTCAGCCTTTCTTCCTCCCCAGTTTGAGAATGGCCTGCCGTTATCCCACACTTGTTTCTGTGGATAGCAGGAACGTGATGGGAATTGGCAGTCACTAGTAAGTTTACAAGTGAAAAATGCAACCTCACGTACCTTCAAGGAGCTTAATTGTGCAGAGTCAGGCAAGGGAAGAGTAATAACAAACTTACAGAAAACAAAACACCTTGAAAAAAATACGTGCAGTGTGTTAGTCAGATCCACTGTGAAACCTCTCCCACCCCCAGTCTTAATCTAGAAGGTAGGTAGGATTTTACATAGTTTGGAAGTACTTTCTAGGAAAGGAGCTGCTAGAGTCAGGGTGTTCAAAAGATCTGCCAGTGCTTAGGCTGTTGCGAATGACTGTTTTTAAAGGAGTGGCTCCCAGAAATGGGAATCATGATCCTGCCTGAACTCAGTTCTCATTTCCACATGCAGTCTAAATGCCTTCAGTAAAGTTGTGGGTGCAGCAGAAAAAAAAGACGTGCGTTTTGTGCTGCTTTTCCATCGGTTATTCGGTACCACTGCAGCGTTTCAGCTCTGAAATACCATGTATGTTTGGAGACGGTGCCTCCTTGGAGAATGGTTCTGTAACTACAGCATTAAGGCACAGATCCCAGCGTTAAGATCCCAGGAATCGGAGGGAGGAAAGCACAACAAAAAAAAAAACCCAAACACAAACAGAACAAACCAAACCAAAATCCAAACTCCCAAAATCCTATTGGGGATTTAAAAAACTCATTGGGTCAATTATACAAAAAAGTTCAAGTTTTTACAAAATACAGCTTATGGAGAAGGAATGGTCATCTATTCAAAATTTCCCTTAAGTTTTCTCTACTTTCGTAACTTGGTTGTATGAATTGTCTCTGTAGAAAATCCTCGGGGGTTAGGTTTCAAAATTATTTTAATATCGAAATTTTATCCTAGCACTTTTAATTTGTGAGGTAGTGTTAAATGATTCATGGCTAATCCTTAGGGGCATATTGGCTGTAGAGCAGTTCCGATTAAAAGTTTCATTAAATGCTCAAATGGTGGTCCACAAGCAATGTTAAGAGTCAGTGATGCTCTGTGATTAAATTTTTATACTTGTATTCATATTTTTTTTCTGTTCCTGCAGAGTGCCCATCAGGTTTTCTGGACATCTGAGACTTTTTAAGGAGAGGGAGAGAGAGAAAAAGGAGGTTGCTCTGATGCATGTAGCACATGCCATGAATAAGCAAGGCTGGTGCCTCTGACTCTCCATTGCTTTGCACTTTGCTTAATTATTGACATTTGTGTAAAAAGGTTGCAAAATGATACTGTGTCGCCAGGGCAATGATTACTGGCTCATAATCACTGCTGTAGGTTCCACCAGAGAGGTTATCTGTTCTCCTGATAACTTTATCTCAGTTTAACTGTCATAGATTTTCTCCAGTGAGAGACATCAAGCAGATTTGGTTTCCAAGATACCAAAAGATACATCTTCAAATCAACATTTTACTGTTTAGGCGTAAAAAAACGCACAAATGAAATTAGCCTTGTGTGAAAACAGCTCTAGCTGTGATTTCTGGGCAAACTAGTTCACCAAATCTGTGTTAGCATACTCTTAAAATAAAAATAATCCACCTATGAAGGAAAAGAAGTCTCAACTCTTTGGGTAGTACCATTTTTTTTTTTAAATGTCACTGAAGCCACAGGGAAATTCAGTTCAATTTATGCAATGTATTTGTGTGCTTGTGATAATCCATCTTCAATTCTAGGAGCAAGCTCTTAATTCTAAGCCTTGTAATGCATTAAACTCTAAAATTCAGGCACTGAGAATATTATAATTTATTAATAGGATAAAATGATCAGGAAGTATTAAAAGATCTGAATTTTTAATACTCTTATTAGCCTTTGTGCAAGAGATGGATCAGTTGCCTTGATGTATTAATAAAATAATACTGCAGATGTTCACTCTTCATAAGAGTGTATTGTAAACTAACGAGTTGGGATAGCTTGGTTAAAATACAGGATATATAATATTACTCCCATAGCTGTATTAACTCATGTTTTGAGAGACTGGCAGAAGACTATGTATAAACAATTCTCAGTCGTGGCCCATTGACAGATTCTCAACGATTGTTAATGGGAGCATCCTGTGGCAAAAACAGCCTAAGGCTGGGTAGAGGCAAGACCAAGGGAGAGATCTAATACTTCTTAAGCTATGTGTGGAGATTTAGCCAGAATGTAAAATTCAGATTTTAGTTACATGAAGTAACATCTATTTGTTTGATTTATTGCAGTTCTAGAAAGGTTGAAGAGGATGAATATGAAGATGGAACAACTAACCAAAAATGGGTTTTAGCTCCAAAAACACAAGACACAGATGTGACTCTCATACTAAACAAGCTGTTGAGAGAGTATGACAAAAAGCTGCGGCCAGATATTGGAAGTAAGTACTACTTTTTGCACAAGTGCAGAGAAGCATCATTATGTACAGAAAAGACATTATGTTATACTTTGGTTAGTGTGCACAAATGGCTGGGAAAGTAGTTGATACACTTACTAAGTGATCCCTTTGGGTCAGTTTAGAGGGAAGTAAGAGCCATCTGTATATGTTCACCATTACAGTTATTAGTGTCTCATAGCTATACAGTAATGCAGCAGTTCCAGAAAAGAAACAAAGCCAAAACCCATGCTGTGTTGTGAAAGAAAGTGTTCTTGTTTTGGTTTAGTTTGTTGTTTTTTTTTCAGAGCTATTACTTTGATTTTTCATGGTATTTACAAAGATCATATTTGATAAGTATGTCTGTTTTTAACACAGTCACATCTCTTAATTTCTCTTACTGAATTTAGCTGATCTTTAATATCTGATGGAGAAGTGCTTTAATGCAGTACCCCACCCATATCAACATCTGGAAGACATTCTCAAACACGTTTTTTATTTGACTTTGTTCACAATGTCCTCAGATCACTGACTTCAGGCAGAGTAAATTACGTTATGTCTATGTGGGGCAAAGTAATCATGTCAGTTGGCCTAAAATCAGTAGAGGTCAGAAAAATATCTTGCATCACTGGAAAATTGTGACCAATATAATTCCTTTTGTCTCTGCACAAAATTTCATAAATCCTGTTTTAAAGAAAGGAGTTAAATTACACAGCTCCTCATATATTGTACCAAAAAGCGATTTTACAGTTCTTAACTACATCTGTCTATTTCTATCACTCATCTCTGTCCTAGGCCATTTTTCTAGGCCTGATAGGATTTGATAGGAATCTGGCTATTTCAGAACCTGAGCAGAGTGTTGTTCACACACTAGAGAAGTTAGTTCACCTCTGCTTCCTTCACTGGTCCCACATCCCTCCTTTCATGCCTTTGATGCAGATGAATAACATTGCCCTTTTGAAGCTCAGGAGCAGCTGCATTTGTCAAGGAGAACACGAGGGGAATGTTAGAGAACCAGGCATTATATCTAGCTTCCCCGAATTGCTGGCCTGTAGCCTGCACATAAGCATATCTCCCTTTCCATCTGGGAGAAAGTTACTAGTTATCCTCCTAACTAGATGGTTGACTTGTCCTGGCAACTGAACTGTGTCCCTGCCCAGAAGATCCAAGTTGGATAAAGCAGAATGCATAGCAGTCAAAGCACTAAGAAAAAAAGTAGTGGATCAGGTAACATAGAACATACAGTAAGAAAATGCATGTTCTGGAATGAATAGAAAGCATGGAATGAACCAGTGGAGGAAGAGAGAGATAATTCTCAGGATCAAGCAGAAGTGCCGCCAGTAAAAGATGCTGAGGATTAAATCTAGGGCTAACATGCAGTCAGTTACTCATTAGGACCTTTATATTTGTGCAGTGCTGCCTGTAAGGAAACCGTCTGCCCCACAGGACAGAAGACACCCACTGTTTCATGCCAGATTGATCTTCACTCAATTTTCTAATCCTTTCTTGCGAAGGCACTGTTTCTAACAGTGGATAACTTTAGCTATGCTCCTGAGGAAATGATCTTCTTTCTGAATGCTGACAGAAAGACCTAAGAAAATTCTGACTTCTTTGCTCTTTCAAAGGTTAGGATTTTGATTTTTAGATCACTCAGGAGCACACTTTTGCAAGCCAAAGGCTATTGAGAGGAAAAGACTGGCAAATAGAAGGTATTGAAGTGCATGCTAGCCTATGCAGTGACTTTTATGTGGTTTTTCATCCTTCCCAGGGCAGCTGATGTTTTGCCTAGCTAAGATGTGTGCAGCTACCACCTGTTGCTGTACAGGCATATTCTCAGTGCCCATTTGCTATAATACGGGCACTGAGTTCTTCAGTAAACATGTACCTCCAAGTCAGGAGTATAGCCACCATTGAATGAACTCCTATGAACACTGAGCCACCCTCCTTCCTCCTCCACCACCTTTTGGAACAAAGCAGTGTTCTACCAGGAGGGGAATGCCTCACTGCATCCCCTGTGGCCACACACTTGGCAGAGTTCTTGTCTCCATAAACATCACAGCTTGTGAGGTTTTTAATTTTAATGGTGACATTTGGCAGTTTTCCATTATGCTACAGAACATACCCACCTTTTTAGAATTAAGAAATAAAAAGAAGAAAAAGCACTGCACACTGAACAGCTTATACCAGTGTACTGATAAGATCAAAAAGAAAAGCGCTTTAAGGAGACAAAGCATATTTTCTACTTATGCTTTGCTAGTTACAGTTGTAGGTCTGAGAATTGTGGGCCTGTTGCATGGTGTAAAGGGCACTAGCTCCACAAAAGTAAACTCAGAATGAGTCTTAAAGGTCTTAAAATCTCTTCCATAGGCAGGTACTGTGGAGCTTGTTTCAAAGTCATTTGGAGACTCGTTCAATGGATATGCAATATATTCTAAGTGCAACTTAGAAGAACTAAGGCTTACTACCCTCCAAGAGTGATTTTTATTTTTTTTGTACCCTCCTGTGTCACACTGGCTTAAGTCCTGATGTAGGAATAAGTTCTGGCTCTAAAATTTTACTTCCTCTTTATTGGTAAAATAAGAATAGAAATACTAGGCAAACCAAGAGGCCACAGAGTAGAATGATGATAATTACAGCTAAAAAATAATCTGTCTTATTTGGGTTCTGTTAACAAACCAGGTTTTTGTCATTGCTCAATTTGTAATTAACTGATTTAGAATTTAAGTTCCGTTGAAAAAAAACCAAACCCAAAATGCAACAAAACCAGTGAAGCAACCTACAAGTAAGTTAAATAGTACATGACAAAACATATTTCCTTCAAAGTCAGTTTACTTTAATGAAACCTTCCCTCTCGCCTTCCTTCATAGACAGCTTAGTTCACAGTGGAGTCCTGGAGAATAAAAGCTAGCTTTATTATCTTTATATGGAACATGGGTTTCCTGAGATAGAAAGCCTGTAACAGTGTATTCTTCCAAAGTAAAAGTTTTGCTAATCACTTTCCCTAAGTGAACTTTACATCTGAAAGTTAATACTTCAGATGACAGTTAACGCTATCATTTTCTTTCATTGTGAAAGTCATCTTACCCACCAAAAACTTTAATATGGGAGAGGTTTCTAAAGTGTGCTATTAGTAAAGGGAGAATAAAAATCTCATCCTAGACCAGGCTCAGAGCTGCAGTTCTCATTTGGAGCATGAAGAGCAGTAACTCTTAAGAGTTGCCTTTCATGGGTTTTGCTTACCTGAAAGAAAAGATCTATTTTTGTCGTGTTCATTAAGAAGCAATAACTACATGTAGGCCAAAATTTCATTGATGACAAGGGAATAGTAATGTTAAGGTTTAGTTCATAAGCTGAGCTAAACTCCAAGCTTCCCTCTTTATCTCAACCTAATGTGAAAGAAAACATTTTATTTCACCCATATGTTTTGGAGAACAAAACTGTTCCCTGAACATCTCTAACAAGCAGTTACCCCAGCTCTTTCATTCCAATGGAAAAGATATTCAAAACCACACATACTGCAGTCTGATCAGATACTCTCCTGTCTTCCTGGCCCTCTCCCCAGCTCCTAAAACACCTTCAGAACACAAGAGGACTAGAATAAGGAGTTACACACACACAGAGCTGCTGTCCACTAGCTTTCCACATGGTGTTCCTAATGTGAGAAGTGGTGTTAGGAAAGTGATAACTTTCTGATTTCGCACTTTTAAAAAATGCCTAAAAACATTTCTGCAGATTGTCTTAAGTTCTACTGAATCGTTCTGTTTTGTGTTTGTAATATAGTTACCTATAGGAACATTGTGATTTAAGAATTTAGCCTTTATGTTAGCATGGGTTGCTGCATTAGTTGAAATCAGATGCTGTGTTGCTTGAGGTCCTTGTGCTCTGTGACATAATTAGCCTTAGTCCTTACTCTCTAGAGCATAACCAAAGCGACTAGGGTCTGTTGTACATAGAATGAGTTATTTGACAAGCTGGCAAGGCAGCTTGGCAACAAAACTTAGGTTTAAGGTGACCTGAAGTAAATTGCCTTCATTATAATACTAAAAAACACACCCACAGATTGAGAAGACCCTTGCCCCGTGCAATCATAGTAACAGAAGAGAGTGATGCTGCAGATATTATAATTGTATGTAAATCACTAACCAATCATTGTAACTGGGAGAGTACTATCTTGTAATTTTTGTGTATAGGCAGAATGATGAAATCAGCACTGGGTGTGCTTGATTTGTGGAAATTGCCCCTAGCACCCAGCACTGCAATAAAGAAGTGCCTGCTTCTTTGCTACATTGGTGTTAAGGAGTTTTATTCTCCTGACTTTCAGTGACAACATCATAGGTAAAAAAACCCACAGAAGTTATTTCCCCTGCATTTCAGGCTGTACCAATGATCTTTACAGTTATAGTCTTTATAGTCTGCCAGGGAAGGTTTAATAGTTTCAGTTAATTTCTATTTCAGAGGCTGGAGCAAATAGTGCTGGTAAGAAAAAAAGCCAACCAGATAGGACTATACTGTAGTGTATGCAGACTACCCAGGGAAATTGAAGGTACAGTGTGGTCATAAATATTAGAAATAAAGCTAAAATAAGATAAAATCCAAACAAGAGAGAACTTCCTGTGCCTTAGAATTAGCTGACAGCAAGTTTTTCAATTGATATTTCTATTAATGGTCAACCAGAACTGAAAAGGCCAAATGTCGTATGGAAGTCTTGTTTAAATGTGGTAATTTATTATATTAATTTATTCTTCCTATGTTTTCTAGTACCTGGTTTTTAAGCTGCCTGCCTTCTTATTTAAAAAAAAAAAAAAAGCCAAGCTGACATTAAATCAGACTTGAGGCAAGAGCATTATGGGAGAGACAGAATAGGCATGAGTAATACGGATTTTACTGATAATATTCACTGAAAGGGTAGAAAAGAGTATGAAGATAATTTGTATTGCATGTTTACATCTCCTGCTTCTCAAATGTACCATTGTATTAGAGAAAGCTCTGAATTGCACATGATGAAG